AAAGAAGAAGGGAAGAGAGCAGCAAAATTTTCGCAAGCGACTGCTTTTCGTGAGAAGGACAAGGCTTGAATACAAAAAAGACGACCTATTCCGTATAAGTTTGCATAACGAAGCAGCTAACCCGTTCCTGGCGGTCCGTAAAGTAGAACTGCCTTCCATGGCTTCAAATCTGACGAAACAAACCACTCGGGATATTGTATGGGATCAACCAATGCTTCGAATAGAGCGGTTTTTGCCTTAAAAATCACTTGAATCGGAACAATTTGCGATTGCAAAACATCTACAAACAGCTGGAAATAAAAACAGTCGAAGCGACTCATATCATCAGTTTAGACAATAAGAAGTGACGCAACGTCCTTATTGGGGCCTTGTTGTTGTGGAAAATACGGTAGAATGTCGAGCTAGCTAGCTGGGAAATACTAGACGCAATTCGGTAGGAGGAGGAGTCAAATGGTACGCAGCGAAGCTTCTACAGCCGCCTTGTGAAAACCTGGAAATTTCTCTAACCGAAGTGACCTACATGTCGCAGCTTCACAAAAGTTTATGGATTCAGAAAAAGTGAGACCTGTTCGTTACATTAACTAGAAAAAGGAATTAGAGAGAATGCAGAATCCCCTTCCCCCAACCCAAGTCGAACAGCCTCCGTCAGCTCGCGTCACCTATAGGGGATGCAACGCCCCATACCTTGAAAACACGTACCTCATCAAGACCAATGATTTCACTGAGTTTTGGGAGCTCGTCAAGCTTGGTCACAAGGGTGGCCTCAATTGCCTGCCTGAAGCCAACGACAAAAGTTCAAAAAAATTCCACTTAAAAAGCTCTCATAAAACATTTTTCTGCCGAAAACGAAGGCATACTTTCGACTGTTCGAGAACGAATCCAGCTCGTCTTTCGAATTTGGCGGGGACTGTTCGACCATCGAAGAACTGGGCCTGAAAATCGACCAACAAGTCAGCTTACATATCAGGTCAACAAATAAGGCCAATAAGTGTACCGTCTGTCGCTGCTTTCTGAGGGGAGAAAAAGTCCGGACGAAGGCCTGTCTGTCATCATACAGCTTTCTTCTGATCCTTCTAGCGCTGCAGACGATTCTGACTGTTCCTTGAACATAACATTTCATAGCAATGGCTATACAATTGCTACCGATAGTTTCTCCACAAGCTCAATTTTTATCAGTAAAAACTTCATCGCTGATCCCTACTCATTATGGAACGATACGGCGGAAAAGTGAGCATTTCATGTTCATCTCAGTGGAGGCAATTCCGCCTGTTTGCAATTCGTGAGCGATGGGGCCCAAAACGAAAAGTATGGTTTCTTACTGATTACCAGTGAAACCAAAGTAAAACATTTCGAGTGCCTTTGATAAGGCTCTTTCAATTTTGAGCGTTGATACGCGAGTCGGAAAAAGAAGGAACTGGCGTGTTCTATGAAGGCCAAAGACATCGAGTGCGCGCGAGAGCATGCGCGCTAACCGCGCGGAGCAGATATGTCGAAAGGAGTATGGACATTATCCCACCCACCCCCCCATAATACATGAAAGGACACCGGACAAGCACGATCGCTCTTTGATCGCTCGTCACCTGCGGGTAACAGAATGGTTTGTCACATAAACTCTAAAGCCCCTCGAGTCCGCTAAATTAGTTTGACCCAGGTCACCTACTTACGGGAGGATTGAATTTTCTTGAATCGAGAAATGTCTTTAGTTAATGCGTGAGTTGTGGTGAAAAAGCAATTACGTTGTGGCCGTTGAAGGGATGCACGTGAAAACTGAATCACCATCTTGTTGCCTAATTTTTTCTTAATATAAGAAAAAAAGACAACCTTTCAAACAAAACAGACCTGCTCCCGTTTCACATGTTGAGAAAAGGCGGCGTCCAATAAATCCTGTGCCACTCTCAGCGTACGATGAAGATGACGATAAATACCGACTTGTTGGATAGTCTCATTGAATGAAGCCAATGATGCAAGTAACTGAAATGAGAAAACATCTTCGCCATAATAAATACGACAAAAAGGCGCAGTTAACTAGTTCTCCAAACAGTCACGACCTTGAGGATTTCTTCTCTTGTTGTATTTTGTTCCCGTTTGAACCGCATGCTCAAGAGACAATGAAAACTGCTGTAACCAATTGTAGGCATCATCGTCGGACCAGGAACTGGTACTCATTTACTCTTGATGTCACGAAGTGGCAATCGCAAACTGTAAAAAGTAAAGACGGCTGGTGGTAATTACGACAAACATTTGCACGCGTACATACTGCGGTTCACGTGAAAACTAGGGTCTCAGGACATCTGTCAACCGGTTCCTCCTCCTTCCTTTTTCCTTTCTCCTTCCTTCTTTTCCTTCCTTCCTTCTCTCATCCTTCTTTATTATTTTCCTTCTCTAAATGCTCGAACAGAAGATGTGATGAGAAAACACCTCTGGACTCTCGCAGCGAGAGAGCATCCGGTTGACAGATATCTTGTAACCGAAAACTAGAAGGTGGTGGTGGTCCTGGCGCCAAAGGCCAGAGTGCAGAGAAATAAAGGACTGCGGCCGCCAGACCATAAGAAGGCGCAGAGAAACAAAGTCCTTTTAGGAACG